CAACAGTTAAGCGAGCCAATAATGCTGTTTTGGTACCAATTGAAAAGACGTTAAATCCTGAGGCTGTTATCTCCATCTCAAATAAAATGTCTCTAATTCCTGAGACTGTGACACCAATTACAAATAGTTTTTCGCCAAACCACGAAATGAGCATTAATCCTATTAATAGCTTCAAACCACCTCCCTCAGATCTCTGAACTTATTCATAAATTACATAGTTTTAAATCTTCTTCGAAACTGAACTCTATTATTACCTCTGCCACGCAAGAGCATTCTTAATCAGCGACTCTTCCGGTTCATACTCTAATTCTCGCTCTGTTAATAATGAAAATAATTCAACTCATAACTAATTAAACGATTGCATCCCTATCCATAATAAATCCAAACAGCTCGAACAATATCTCTATTGTAAAGATGTATTCGTGGCTTGTCTTTGCGAAACTTTTCTTAGGTGTCCTGATTCATTTTCTATTAAAAATTATAACGTGCTTAGATTTGATTGTATCTCTAACACACCTTATGGTGGTGGTGTGGAGTTCCTTATATCTAAAAAACTTTCATTCTCTTACAATTCTAGTTTTGCAAATTGTGAACCGTAGGCTGGAAAAACGTAAAGGCTGGAAGCAATTTTGGGAGAATGTCAATAGCGATATGTTTGTTTCAGATTTTTGGCGTATTGCAACAATTCTTGGAGGATTCACTTCCTCTTATTCCTCTCATACTCACAGGGCTCTTTAACGCTCGCTAGGTCTCCTGGTCAAATAATGCCCTCTGCATCTCTTGGTGAGGAACCTGATTTTAAGCATCGTGCTCTGATTTCTGCTGATTTGGGGGCAATCGAGAAGAAATGTTCAGTTTTTTCTGGACAATAGCGATGGCGTAACTCACTTTATGGTCTGTTTCGATATAGACTGTTGCGCGAACCGCCTATGCTTCGCTTATGCTCCTTTTTTATTCTATGCTATTTTATCTATCTATCAATAGACTATCAGTGTTGGCTGCGACAAAAAGGCTATTCGTAGACCATCGGTCAGTAATTTGTTAATCATTCAATAGAAAGTTAGTTCTCTTGCGGTTTAGTAGCTACTTCAACTGTTGACTTATTGCATATTACTATGCTTACGACGACGGACAAAAAGCACTTTCATAGGCAAGCGGAAAAACCAATTGAGTTTTAGACATAGATAGATAATTCGTGTCCCGTTAAAAAGATGGGAAAATGTTCAGCTAGTGCTGAACAATGTTTTGAATAAAATATTTTATTACCATTCTCTTGCAGTAGGGGCATTTTTCGCAAAGGAAACTGGGCTTTGTACACATAGCTCTACGAAATCTGTTGACAGTAATTACTTTTTCGATTTTTTTATTCGCCGTCAAAAAATGAGGCATTGTCCATTTGAAACTGACAATGTACGAATATTTTTGTAAACAAAATTGTAAATAAATAAATAAATAATTTATTTGAAAAAATAACTTATTATTTTTAGTTTTTAAAAACATTTCGTTGCTAAAGTACAAATATTAGAAGTCGCACAAAAGATTAAACCTTTAGTACAAGTCATTTTATGGCCTTTCATTTGACCCTGGGAATTCTTATAGCATACAAAATAGTTGTTTGTCGATGATTGATCCGCAATCTTGTCGCCTTCTTTGCAATAGTATTTATGTTTCTTAATATGGCCGACAGAACTAATTGGTTTATTAGTTGTACTTTCCATTAAAGCTGCCTGATGTTGTATAAACGATTCCTCGATGTTGCTATCGGGTAGTATGGTAGTCGAAGATAACGGATAGTTGAGATGTAATTGGTAAACATTAGATAAGTTTGGAGTCTTTGTACCTTGCTGTTGCTGTTTATGTTTCCTTTCTTTCCAGGCCATTAAAGCCTCCAATTCCATTTGTTCTTTTTCGTTGACTAAAAAGCCATCGGCGAAAGTCAATTCGGTTTTGCATTTCGTATAAGTTGGCTTATCGCAAATGCGAGTTTCCTTATTGAATGCCGTGTACGGGGGACAGGAGTACGATAACACTTTACTATCCTTCTTACTGCACACATAGTAGCGCGAGCAATCAGTAGAATTCGGCTGTCTAACCGTAGACGCGCAATTTATTATTTCTATTTGACTTAGCGATAAAGAGTTTTGCTCCATTAGCGGTAGCACAGATTTTTTAAAAACATTAAAACTTATAAAATTGCCTCCAACATTAACTAAATATGCGCCATCGTCGTGAAAATTGAACAAAACTGAAGACAAATCATTGTTCGGAATATTATGAAAAGATGGCATAGGACTCGAACTCATACTGGGTCTTGGCATATAAGGCATTTTGCTCGAACTAAAAACTGAATGTAAGGGTGTTTGCGGCGGATAGCTCTCTCCAGGTATTGAGTGGGTGGGTTTACGTTTACCGTAACTATATATTATGAAGGGTAGGTGATCGTTGTTCCCTCCTCCGTTAATGTTTTGTTGCAGTGAGTTGTTATCCACTTCGTTGCTGTCGTATTTTTGAGAATTCGGTTGAATGAGAATGTTTTGTGGATTGATGTCCGTTACAAAAGGCGAATTGTTTATATAGTACTCGGAAAAGTTCGGTTTCAAGTTGTGTGTAATTTGGTGATGACTGCTTGCAGGGAAAGAAGTGAGAAGTTGCTGCTGCTTCACCGTCTGAGGACGTGGAAGACTGCCGTAGCCGTTCGTAATTTGAAAATGCGCATTAATATTTTCATTATCTAGGTGTTGACTTGGAATGAAATAGTTTGTTATGGCAGAGGGGGTGTTGAGAAACTCGAAGGGTTTTGCAGTTGTCGCATAGGAAGAGCTAAGAAAGGGCGCGTCTGTAGAGGGCTCTGAATAGTCATTATTCTCATATTTCTGTTTATTTAGATTCGGCTGCGTATTGGCCACGTAATTCAACAAAGGCGGATAAACACCCTGGCCATAACTGTCGACATTATATTTGTCATCGAAATCGCTTCCACTAACTTGAATGGGTATGACATTGTTGTGTATTATAGTGGTTGGAGGCTTTCTATTATTATATCCATTGTTAGTTGGTCGTTTCGCTGAACTGAATATGTTTCCGTTGTTCGTCGCCAGAGCCTGATTGTTCCCATTCGGTAGAATAGCATGATAACTATTGGAGAAAGGACTGTCGCCTTTTTGTGAAGTGAAAGTAATTGGTGGCATTAGTAATGGATTGAAATAACTCGGATTCGATATAATTTTCGGCATATTTTGCGAAGCAATCATCTGCTTGGATAATTCTAAGACAGTTTTTAAAGTTTCCTTGGGAATTTTTGGTACGTTATCACTACTGTACTCTATAAATTGTTGTTGAATTGCTTCTTGACCGGCATGATAAGGCGAAGCTAACATTAAGATACCCTGTGGCCTCTGATTGTCTGCAAGATGAGTGTTAGGATAGCGTTCATCGTAACCGTTAAGACGATCGTAGCTTAAATAGTTTTTCAAAGCATTATTATGCATTACAAATCCCGTTATTGGTTTCAAATTTTTTAATCTCTCCTTTTCGTGCGTTCTATTAAACCATATCGTTTGAGGAGGACTTAAGTAAGGCGGTGCAGATAAAGCGTTAAATTCATTTTTGATATTAAAATGAGCTAAAAAAGCGTTTAGCTGGTCGGGCCTTAATTCCTCGCGCTGTGGATCAGTATGCTGATAGGGTTGTTTTAAGCCATCAACCAATTGCGACAAACGTTGTAAATACTTTAGCAAATTATGGTCGACGTTCGATTTCTTGTCGATATCTTCTACAGTCTCTTTTGCTTCCAAGCCTTTAACGGTCGTTTGATTTGTTGTTACCATTGAATTTTCAATGCTTTTCGTTTCCATAAAACCATCCAGTTCCATAAGTTTTTCGTTATCATTGCCACTACCACTGCCTTCATAGTTATCGTCTTCGCTATTTAAGTTCTGCGCTAAAACGATTTTTACCTCATCATCTTTATCATTTTCGTCTTTATATATAAAATCATTTTCCGTGTCGTCCGCTTCCAAATGATTTGCGATAACATAAATATCGGATTCATGTTTATTGTTTCTATTATGATATCTACTTGATCTCGTCTTCCCTTTATTCGTATCCTTAAGACATTCCCAATCGTTTGGCGGTACAACACAACTACGTAACTTATGCTCGTAGATAAGTCCTTGTTCACAGGACACTGGTATCCAGGCATAAGCAGTTGATGACAACTCTGTACATTTATAATAAATATCGCAAAAGGATTTATGCTCGCGTGTCTTTTCTGGACATGCTTTACCTAAATCAAGGTGAAGAAAGAGCAATCGGTGGATAAGTAACTAGAAGATAACATAACTTAACCTTTTGAACCTTCTGAAAAGCAAAACATTCCAAATAAAAGCAAAATTTGCAGACCAGGCATCTCTTAACCAGGAGCCGATTTTTATCATCAAGTAAACGCTAGAGTTTATAAAAATGACTTTTGAGATATTTGTCGTACCGCGCTGTTTGCTCGAGCATTGCCAGCGAATAAATTAAAACTGTTGTTAACGTCAAAAGTATTTTACAAAGTGTGAAAAAAAGAAAAATTAACCATGCTATGCATTCTCAGTTCAGGTTTAGTTTATGATATATAAAGTAGATCACTCGCATTTCCCTCTCCTCAAATTAATTAAGTGCTAAATATGAAAAAGTGAAGAACTGTATGTATAACCAACCATCTACCAAGTCGTGCATTCGAATTAGAGTCTTGAGCAAAGGTAAATGTTTTTATTTTCATTTTTTATTATTTGTCCACAAGCATAGAATTAAAGAATGAAGTTATGTCAGCTTCGTTATGCCGTTTGTATTAGCCAAAAATACGCATCGGAGGTTATATAAAATATACTCTTGAGACTAAGAGTTTGAATGCCCGCTTTTTTGATATTGAATTGACCGAGTGTTCTTCGCCCTTATCTTGAAACTGTTAAGACTGCAAAAGCTAAGATAGGAAGTTTAGCGTTTGCGCTCATTTGGTTTTAGAGTTTCAATGTGCCTCTGATGGCTCTGTCACTGGAAGCAAAGAATGCAGAATATATATATATATATGTATATATATATGGAATGGAATCATTTGAAAGCTCATCCCAAAGATGAGGATGACTTAATAACCCGCTAGCTAGCGGTTTTTACACATTCGCATACAGCAGCGGATATTAAAGATTTTATTCGTCGCTTGTATTACTTTTTCACTCGCAATTTCTATTTTTCTTTCTTTCATGTGTTCACCGGGCCTATGGCTATGTGTGTAACAAACCAAGCCTTTCAAAGTATTTGCATATGCTCTTAGTAAGACATCAGTTCATAAATTCGTAGGATGACATATGACAGAATCCATCTAATTGTTAGTTACAAACGAAACGAAATATGTCAACATTTTTTGACATTCCGGCCATTTGTCTACATGTGACTGTTGTTTTAGTGATGCCGTACATGAAATTTGGATTTTTTTATTGTTTTACAAAAACAAAAATAGCGCTTACCATCTATGCATAGGTGGTGGACGCCGGTATGTCATCCTACAAATTTACTGAGGGATGTGTTAAGTACGAGATTTTGACAGATAGACTAAGACGGCTTGCGAGGCTATTTCCTAGACGTCGTTGCTCTGACCGGATCCGTAAGGCAAAATACTAAATGGAAAGCTAGAGTTTAACAAATCTCTAACCTGACCTTAGGCTTTCTACCATAGTAAAACTTCGGATAAAAAGGCAGCTTTCAGAAGGAGCATATACAGCTTTCGCAGGTTAAGTTTAGAAATGGTATTGATCTGCCTTCAAGCTCAATTATTAACCGATTTAATTGAAAATTTCGAAATATTTTTAGCAATGACCAGCAAACGCATATACTATTTAAAAGTCGGTTAAGGAAGCACTGCATGTTTATTTGCAGCATTACTGGCTGAAGTGCTACGTTTTTAAGATTCTCGTTTGCTTAATATTATTTCTTCTTTTTCATTACGAATATCTGGCAGTTTTGTGGCCGAAATGTTTTCTAAAGATCAAAAATGTATGTTTCCATGTTTGATTAAATGTTTTTAACTTTATATAAACGTTAATAAAGTCGTTAAACATGTTTATTATGCTTAATGCTCGAGAGTATATTAATTTCATTATTCGGCTTGCACTGCTTATTAATTATTTCTTATTAATTATTTCGTAAACGTTTCCGCTGTTAATCGATAGACTGTCTTGAGCGGTCATTATCTGTCGGTTATCGTAGCCGTGAATTTTCCAAATTCACATTTAATCAAAAATATTTGCAGTTGTCAAAACTATAGAGGAAGGCACGAACTTGCTTTCACTACATGGCGAAATTTTTGAAAGTTAATGCGAAAGGCCCGTAAAAACGAAAAAGATTGTCAAACTTTTAGAGGGAAACAGAAAAAACTATGTAAAGTGTAATACAATAGACTGCCCTGTGACACGATAACTCGTTCCATTTCCTATCAATCGACGTTAGTTTGAGTCACTTTTAAGCTGATTACAGTCCAAAGTGTTCTTAATGATGGGGCTTAAGACAATACTTGACAATAATTTTTATGATAGAGAGAAAGATAGAGAGAGAGAAATACATAAAAATTTTCTGCCCAAATTTTTTTTTACGAAGACGTTTCGCTTTAACTCAAGGTCAGTCAAGCGCCAGAGCTGGTGTCGCATGAGTACAAAGTGTCCGAATGGCACTCTTTAGCTGAAAGTAATGCCGATTAGGGTACGTTTTGGCTCAAAAAAGTTGCCTTCAACTAGAATTTTCTAACACAAGGCAAGTTGTTAATCGTGTTGTTGCTTGTATTCACTGGTTTCTGCCTCACACGTACTTTTAGTAGACCAACCATTGGCTTCTTTCAAGAGACTTTCAATTATTTTGGAATTTCTTTAATGTTTTTGTACCAAAGTGAAAATTGAAAAACAAACACAAACAAAAACTGACGTAAACAGGCTAAGCAAAAAAAGACAGCTTATGGTGCTGCTCATCAAAACCTACTTACATCTGGCTGAGTACAATGATTGATTGAAAGTTACACACAGATCATTGATTCGAGGTAATTCCCTAAAGTATTGTACATGTATGTAATGTTGAGTACAACTGCTTGCTCGGTTCAAATTTAGTTTTAATATCACAGTACACATATGGTGAACATTAGTTGACTCGAACCAAGCCGTCCTTGTTTATTTAAGCATTTCTTTTAATTGTTTAAATATGTTTTGTGCATTTATGGTATTAAAGTAGTGTGTACTAGAGTTTCTTTTTTTTTTTTATAATGTTAAACAACATGAAAACTAATTTCGCTTTCTCGCAATAAAATTTCACAATTAATAAAAATTAAAAGAAAAAAACGGCACTGTTGACATGCCGGCAATAACTACCGGCTTTTTTTTGTATATCGGTTATGCTAATAAACTGGAAAGAAAAGCGTAAAGTAATTTTACAAAATTGTTACGACTTTTACTTCCTCTAAATACACATAAGAAGCGTTACTGTGATTACATGCGGAGTCTTCGCTAAATGATTCAATCAATGCGAGCTAACGACTTACAGAAGAACGAGACGAGAAAATGTTGCAAGCGCTCAAGTTTGTGCTCAAAACAGCAGTTGAGATACCTAGCAGAATTGCAAACTTAAAACCTTGGACATAAATCCACCCATGTAAACTTCAGCAAAAGCACCCGTTTCAGCGACGAAAATATGTTATATGGCTAAAAGAACTTGATCCTTCCTTAAGCTTCAAAACGTGACCTTACGATTATAATCAAGAAAAAAGCTCGCGACTATGCTACATTTATCTAACATTTTAAACATTCTAATTGATCGTAAGATAAGATAAGTGAGAACTTTCTAATGGGACCAAGCCGATCATTAAATAACCTACGCAGCTACCATTGCCATAAGATATCAAAAGCTATACCACCTTAATATATAAATAGTTTACTTTTCATGGCAAGCGCTACATGGAAATGGGCCTTCAAAGTATGCCAATGTGGCCCATGTACATCTCAGTAAATTTATATGCCAAACAGTAGGACTTTCCTGGCACATAATGACTTATTGTGTGTACGAATGGCTTTTCGGAAAAGTATTCCGAAAAAGATCTCTTTTAATCCAAACTTTTCCATATGCATTTCAGTTCCTTTAATAAAGCAAAATCCAATTTTTTTCTTGCTTTTGCGGGGGCAATTTTTTCATAAAACGACATTTCCGGATTACGGCGTTATGTGGAGAGTAAAAATAATCCGTTCCAATGTATTTGCGATAGGAACTGTTCTTGGTCTAAATGGATCAATTTTCAGAGGGTCATTACATCAAATTTAATCAAAATATCTCGAAAATTACGATCAGTAAGCTAAGCATACGAATATGTAGAACTGCTTTGGTCGGACAGACTCATGTGATCTTCATGTCAAATTAATAGAAGCAAGAAATCTAACATCAATCTTACATCAGCTTTCAAAGAAATAAATTTTAAAAAGTAGTGTCGTTGTAGGTATGCCCGACTTTTTGTTAGCATCTGTACGTTCGTTTGCGTTTATTTTAATCTTGAGCGACATAAGTTGATTCAAGATTTCATTTCAGATTCCTGCAACCCTTAGAGTTCTATTAATCAGTATTGGTTAAATGAACAAGTGACTAAATGTTCTCAATATCTTAGTGCATTGAAGAGTACACTTGAGATTTTAGGTACGTATTTCTGGATGTTACAAACATAGTCATAAATTTAATGTAATCTTATGCATTTGCAGTGAGGGAAAAACCAAATATTATTTCAACACTTCCTATACCACTTTTTAGTTAATATTACTTTCACTCATAATAACCTTCGGCAATATGAAAATATATATTTTCTGTGTCAACATTTATATTATTTTATGATATAATATTAAACAATCAAATAATAATCGGCAAATATTTAATAATAAAAAAACGGCAGTGAAAAAATGTGTACTAAGTGTTTTAGAAAAAATTGTTTGAATATTTATTTCAGTTTTGCACAAGCTCGGTTCTTACATCATCTCATTAGTGATAATTCCGCCTGAGTAACCTAATAGATGAGAATCGTCACCACGAAGATGATATGCGAAGTAATTGCTTTGATTTCGTCGATCTTTTGCGCGTTAAATTTGACAATAGACTAGACCGAGGCCGATCTTGAAGCATTTCACCGCTCCGTTTTAATACCTTTAACTATTTACACCGCCTCCTGAACGTTTTAGCGCTTTTATATATAGGAACAAAAGACTTTGTTTAATATTTTTTTTATTTACACGACAAAATGGTCGATACGCCAACTCGATAGCAGTTCAAGAGTCGACTATCGTAAATAAGATAATTAACGACTCTGACAGGGAAAGGTATAAAAGAAAAAGGGAACCGCGAACTCGAAAAGCATTCATGATTAGGTCGTCTTACAATCTCGATCTAATTAAAGAGGAATGTGCTTAAGTTCGATGGATCGACGCCAGCTGCCCGATTTTTCTTTTCCTATTTTCTTTATAGACGAAGAACTTGTTGTCTCTGTTAAGAAACGCATTTTCTACCGTCTGGCATGTACTTCATCTTAGTAAATTATTGTAGAATGCAAAATTCCATATCTTGTGCATGCTATTACACTATTGCGAATGCAGTAAAAGACTTAAAATTTTCATTTCATTTTTCTTTTCAAGTTTATTTTTTTTAATTTCGTACTTTCCCTTTCCTCATTGAACAACTAATGATAATATGCGTAATTATTATAATATATAACATTTTACTTTCGATATTGCTATTTGTGTAATAATTCATTGTACACACATACGTACATTTGAAGAGATCGTGGCTTAAAAGTAAATAATAAAAATAAGAAAAATGTCACTACGTTTTAAATTAAGATCGCTCGTCCGGAATACGTAAAAGACTACATACTACAATACTTCACATCAAATATTATTTCTATATAATATAATAAAAAAAAAGAAGAGCCGATAATCTTAGTTGCTAGTGATCATCCTACAGTCAGTCCTAGAATGCATTTCTTTGATCTAAATAAATTATGATAATAATAATAAATAAATAGTTATATATCCATCAGTGAGGAAGAATTTTTATGGAATCAATTTGTGAGTGGTACAAGCTTCGGCAAACAGGGTTTGTAAATTCATAGAAATATTTACAGTTCGAGGCCCAACTAAAAATGGAGGTAATTCGATCACATGTGTAATATTGGCCTCCCATAACGAAAAAAAAACCAAAAACACTGCAATGGGATACGGACCACCTTTAAATACCCTACACTGCTTTGTTTAACTCAGTTCTTCGTATGTCGATTTTTCAAAATAAGGTGTTATATGAGGAATGTTCGAAGAAGCAATACGATCTGAATCAACTTTAATAGCATCGTTTCTTGGGCCAAAACAAACGAGGCGGACAAGCTTAGATTGATTCAGAAAATGACTGTGAATCGATCAATATAATAAAAGGCAGATCTATCTCTGGGTATTGCATACATCCGCATAAATTTAATATACGCTTACGATAAAAATAAAGTAGTGTTATAAAAAGTTAAAGTGCCGACCGACTTTCTTTAATGTACCTAACAATCAGAAATATAGTAAAAATATTAAAAAAAAGAAGTTTAATTGGTCCAGTTACACTGCTCGAAATTGTTTATTTATTTATTTAGCTTTCACACTTGAAAAAATTTATATTCGCTTTGAAGTGAAAACGTCCGAGCAATTACATTAAATTGAAAGCTTTCAGTTAGCAGTGCTTGCGAATCAAAAGTATTGTTCATTATTATTTATGGTGTAGCTTTTTCTTCATTTTTAGTGCAAGGAGTTCACGCGACATAGTAAAAGTTCATATGACAGATTTTAGCTTTTCCTATACGAATTTCTGCAATCATAACAATCCCAACAGTTTGAAAAGTGCAGAAGGGTTAGGATTATAATGACCACAAATATTGTACATTGGCTTTGTTGCCGAATAGTACGCCAAGCCGTATGTGAGCCTGCCTTTGGTGGCGAAAATGAAATGAAGGGAAATGGTTTTTGCGGATTCTTTAATATTCAAGTGAATCTCGAAGCGGCATATTCTCGAAACAAACTCGCGTCAAACTAACACGCAAGGAATATTTTCTGAGAATTTGTTTAGGATTACACAGACTTTATAAGAAAAGCGCGATATTATCCTAGATAGTCTTGTGATTAATTTGTGGCCTATTGTCAAGAAAGACGTAGATGGAGTAGTAGTGGACCGATAAAGATCTTTCCGCGTGTCTTAATAACGTAAAATTTTTTGAATTCATCACATAAACGTAATTTTGGTTTCAAGACTTCGCTAACCAGCAATATTATCTGGTTGTAGCGCTAACAGCTTGAAGACTTGAAGAAGCCCGCTATCAGTATGGTCTCGCATAATGTGTTTGAGACAAATTGCAAAAATTTCATGTAACCGAATTGAAGAGAAATTCGCAAACGGAAGAGAAGTGGGCACCCTGCGTGATTCCTCTACGCGAAGTATATTTGCATTGCACCACGGTAAACGTATTGTTGGGAAGAAAATTTGGAACTAACTCTTTAAATTGTCGTATTTTTAGCCAAAAACCTGCGAAAGGTATTAATTAAATTAAGAAATTAATAGAAAACAAATTGAATTATTTCAGTGCTATCCTCAAGAGGAGCTTCTAAAAGCCATTTAAATAGGTTTGTTTCTTATAAATAAATAGCATAAATGCGGCTTTTATTTTTAATAATAATATTTGTTACTTTATGCCGGCCACAGTCTGCACAATATACGCATAATCCGCTTAACTAAATTTAAAATTATAAAATATATTTTCTACCTTAGAGAAATGTTAAGAAGTCTTTTAAACACAATCGAGATAATTTGTGCTCGTTAAGTTTGAAAAATAAATATAAGAAAAAAAAGAAGAAAAAAAAGAAAAATTACAAAATAAGTAAATAAATAAAAAAATTTGTTCTTCAAATTGATTTTCACTACGATTATCACAATTATTGCTGCATTGAACATCGTATAATATTTAACGACTACATTTCGAATTTTCTTATTAATACATTTATTGCTTTTTTTGTTTTTTATTTCCATTTGAAGCGTTTTCTTACAGCATTAAAGCGTCTTCGCTGGTTATATACTTTCTAAAATTTAATTCATGAACTACTTGTTTTAAAACTTGCTTTGTTTTTGGTTTTTTTTTTTTTTTGTCCATTAAATCTAAAAATTAAATCTTTATTTGACGCTAGTAACTCCCCGCGCATGAAAGGAACACAAAATATTCGTGATAATCAGCGTATCGTCTTACACCATACCAAAACCTTCAGTTCCCTCGCTGATCGCTAGTAACAATGCTTTTTCGAATTGTTCATAGCATTCATAATCCGGTAGACATAACTGATTAAAACTAAAATACAGTTCAAGTTAATACGGTAAGGTTTGCTGCTATCATTAACCATTTTTCTTTCTTCTTATATGACTTACCACGTATGAGCTGTTGGCAAATTTCCAAATGTAGGTGCAGCAGTTATTTGAAATTGTGGATTCAATTCTTGAAAACCTCCTGGTGGCAGTTGTGAACATCCCGTAGTGAATTGTAATAAACGCGCCATTTCGGTTTGCGAGAAATTGCTAACGCCAGCCCAAAACCAAGCCAAGACCCTGCGAAACTCAGCTGAATTACCATTTGCTATATGATGAGCTTTGAAATCCGCTATCGAATATTCACCCGTGCCGCACATTAGTAACTGAAATAGAGGAGGAGGGGAAACGAAAATGATTTCTAAATGCTTTGCCTTTGGTAGCTCGGCAGCACTTACCTCTAATTCGTTTTCATCGAATATACTTAAGAGATTATCCGGTATAATACCGTTAAGGCCTTTTAAAAAACTATCGACCTCATCTTTGACACTATTGCAGAGACGTTGTTGTGCTAAAGCATCCAAATATTGATTTTTGGTAGCATTTGTCACACGCGTTTTCGAACCATTTGGTATGAGTTCGATAGTTTTGCTTAATTGGCCGCTGGCATCATAAATCTCTTCAACAAAATACAATTCCAAAGAATCAGTATTATCAAGATCTGTGTCTAATATATATTTGATTTTCGACAAATATAAGTCGGGATCGTCTTGTTCGAAATACTAATAAAATCATATATTTATTACATTAACACTAACAATAACAAAAAAGAATGTACCACCTACTTTATAATGTACTCGTAGACCAATAAGTTGTGCTAGAAATGAACGTGTAAAACGTGCGCGTACCAGTTGCCGATAGGTGCCGCCTAACGCGCTTTCATATAAACATTTGCCCACAATTTTACCGGCAAATTCAAAGTGTTTCAATTTTAGGTGGGCCGGTCTGTGAGGATTTGGATGCACTAAAGCTTGGTGTTTGTCGTGGAAGCTACAAAATAGACCGCTACGCGGATCGAATAATGCACTACAAATTAGTTCGAACCATTCACGACGTAAACCACCCCAATCAATACCTGCAAATTATAAGCATAAGTGCGTTTAATTAAGTTGAGGTGAACAAGTTTTTTTATTGGATTCGCCTTACCTTGTTCACCTTGAAAGGTCACTTCGAAGTTACCGCACCAATCACTAACTGAAAAATTCTTTGTTGCCTTCATACTACTCTCTAAAATTCGCTCGCGTTGCACTTTCAGCGATAGCTTCTCGTGATAGTAATTTGCATGGAACTTTCGCACTTCGTGATAAAAGAAATCCTGCTTGTCTTTAAACGTTTCGGATCCGCCAATATTTTTTAATAGAAAATGGGTAAAAGTAGCCGCTATAATATTACGATCGCGGGAGGCCAATTCAATTTTCGGTTGAGCTCCATCATCGATAATGAAAATTGGCCCGTGAACGTGCGTAGGACGTTGCGGTAGAAAGTGAAATTTTGTCGATGGACATAAACGAAAAGTGGCAATACGTTTAGGTATAAATTTCAAAATCATTTCCTTGATAGTAACCTGAAAATTCACAGAGTTCTGTGGCTGTTTGGGGGAACATCTTGATTGTTTGCATGCAAAACCATAAGAACTCACTTGTTTAGGCCCCACATAGCAAAGGACCTTGCGAGGCTTTGATTTTGGTGCCCCAAAGATACTTAATAATTTGGCTTCATAACAAATATTGTGTTTCCGCGAAGCGATATTCTTATGCACCAATGTGGTGTCACTACCTGCAACAGGTAGAAATATGAACACATATACTGCGTAATAAAAAGGCGTTAAAGATTGCATTAGACTTACTGCTTAAAACTATTATATCGAAATCACCGTTAGGTAACTTTTGATCTAGATAACTTATGACGGCACGTAAGCAAAGAGGTTCCGGAAATAAAGCGGTAACGGAAACCCGAGCATTAACTCGATCATATGCAAACGAAATTGCATGATGTAGCTTCTCTAGCGGTTGACCGTTTAAGTCGTAAATTTCGACATGATAACCCTTTAAGAATGCATCAGATGAACCGTTATATTCTGAATGTGTTCACAAATAAATGGACTTTACTCACCTTAACCGGATCTATATCTTGATCGAATTGGCAAGCATTACCGAATTCATCACGCGGTTCTATATGCATTAGCGTAGGAGCGCCAGCGCAACATATAACCGTACTTGCCGGTCTAATAAATCTAGAACGTCGGGCGTCTATCGGTCCCGGTATAAAGGTTTTTATAAACGGCGAACCCGCTATATGACTTGAACCAATCATTACTGAAATTTTATACTGTCCTGCTGTACGTACGGTAAATTTGACTTTAGCTATATTTGCATTGTTGGGATCGGTCGAAGAACCCAATTCACTAATGGTTACCATTTTACGTGTTCCTTCGGTAACTTCTACGAAAAATTGATCTGTATCACAGATGGGATAAGGCTGGCCGTTTCGCTGATAAAAGCGTACTACAAAACACATGGCACCACCGACCACGGCCGGATCTTTCCAGTCCCATTGCACTTTGCAATTGGCTGGCAGTAAATATTTTCCAGTAACATATTGCAAAAGTGAATGTCGAGCTTCAGGAGCTAGTGAGGGCTGAGTCATGGCTGCTAAGGTAACGAGACCGGCTACAGATACTGACACAACTAACATGCCACCCCAAGTCCATGCGTCTTGATGTTGACTGGATTTGACGACAGTAGACCATAACTCTGCTTTTAAAGCATCCAGCTGAGCTTTGGATGTAGGAAGATTTTGTCGGGCTTGTGACCATATTTGCCAATCTTTTCCCAAAATTTTACTAGCACGGGAATCTTCCAGCCAATACACGTCTTCCAACGAAGCTACTTCAACGGCTAATAAGCGATTGTAATGATGTTGTAAACGATGATCACGCAACCATTCACGTAAAATAAGTTTCTGTTGCAAATGTAGGGCGGCTCGCTGTAAACGTTGTTCATCACCGGGCGGCAGTTCTGGCAGGCGTTCCGGATCACCGCAACTCGACAACGATGAAATGCCTGAAATGAAAACAAGGGAAACAATATATACATATGTATATAGATGTATAATTTATAGGAAATAGTTTGTGAAAAACTCAGCTAGAATTGAGAGAAACGATTTGAGAAAAGTATTGCGAAGTTCGAGTTGCTTTATGCCTTTATACAGATGATCGAAGATGACCGCTCAAGGCATAACGACGCTGCGTTCTCATCCACTTTTTAATCTCTTATTTTCCCGTTCCTGTTATTTCCTACTATATCCTATTAAAAATCATACTTAGATACCGCAAGAATTCTTCTGTTCATAAGAATTCTTATATGGTTAGAAGTCTGCAAAATAGACCTATATAGACCATTTGTGCCAATTTTCTTCGCAAAATGGTGAAAAATGGATCCCCTTTATTTTTGTGATTATTGAAATTGGGGCGAGGATTGGGAATTGGGAGGGGGTGCAAAACTCGTCCTATGCTTTCTAAATTTTTAAAATTCACTTTGTGTCGTGTTTTTCACAGATTATCGATTATTATATAAAAAGTCAGTGATTTTTGTTTTTTATATAATGGTCTTTTCGAAATGGGGCTTTATGTAGGGAGTGGTTGTAAAATTGATTGAAGCCAATGCATTTTCAATAACCTTCTTCAAATATTAGGTAAATGGTTCCTGCGGATAATAAGTTATATGCTCGCTGGCGTATTAAGTCGTTGACTAAGTCAGTTTTCAGTCTAGAGGTCTACTTGAGTCATCAATTCCGAAAGTACGTGTCAAGTTTTAGCTTTCTAACTCAATTTTGGATACAGACGAACGGCTAGAGTTCATTCAGAGCTATACGCTGATCGAGAATCTTCTTCTTATTCTTTTTGAAGTATCTAATGCTTATTTCCATATAAGGCAAATGTAAGGACAAATATGATGCACGTAAATTCTTCAGTAAGGGACAAGAATTCGCGCGGATACGATAAGAGATCGCATTGAGGAAGGGCTGGGTTGCACGACAAGATTCTGCTTTTGCTTTCATTGTAAAAATGAAATTGTCTTTTGGCTCTTTGCAAGCAATATTTGCTGAACTCAAGCTTATTGGGCAATTAATCAATGGAAGAAATCAAACGATCGTAAATTTTTAAGACAAATCAAAAAATATTCATATTTGTATGCATGTGTGTCGCACATGGCAAAAGAAAAAAACTCACTCAACTAAGTATTATTTTACCAGATTTCTTTTTCATGGAAATGGAAGTGTGGTAGCTAGTTGACTCACACTTTAAGTATTTTTTGCGATGCTTTTCTCTCCTCCACCCGCATTTATATTTTTTTCTTAGATTTTCATAAAAGAACAATAAAAAGCGCAAATGAGATTTTTTTAGTCATCAACACGAGAAGAGCAGCTTTATTACAAAACTATTAACTGCAATACAAAGGGACCAACAAAATGTTCAGGCATTTGAAAAAGGAAAAATATATGTATCATATTTAGATATGAAGGTTTGTAGACTAGGTCTATGGCCGTCAACTTTAGTAATCACAGTTTTGTGTGATATAGTTAAGTTGTGTGTATGCGTGTAGATTGCTACATCAGATATTGCATGATTGCTACAAAATCCATTATATGTACATATGTATATATATATATGTATTACGTAACACACCCCTACATTTACCCGCATAAGCTCACAGATGTATAAGCTTGTGTGCTTGCGTTTGTATTTACAACCAACTTTTTATTGTTATAATGTTGCATGCATATCAAGGTTATTTGCTGTTTGATATGTAATTTTTTTTATAAAATCATCACCGAAGGCTGAGCGATACATTCATTTTGTCAAAACGTTTGCAACGCCCAGAAGACAGCTACGGAGGCCCTACAAAGTACAATATGCATTCTTGATCAGCATCACATTCTGAATCAATTCAAGCATGTCTATCCAGTTGTCCGTCCGTGTAATGTCTGTCGTGAACATTCTTTTAGCGGCAAAACGCATCTGTAGGTATCAAATTAAGCGGAAATATCAGAATTTCTTGCACGCAGGTGAAAGTGGGCCAAATAGATCGAAGGGCACGCCTACAGTACTAAGTAAGGCGAGGAATAAAAACTTGGCTGTTTCTTATTTATCCATAAACTGTAGGAGGTAGCGCCACAAAAATTTATACGTTTGTACCGCTACAAAAATGGAAAAAATCGCCAGCGCCAGCTTAATTTTTTAATTTTTTTCAAAATCTTTATAATACACAGAACCGAGCTTCAAAAACCTGGTGGAGTATATAAATTCTTGGCCGGCTTCAAATTCGGAATGCACCCAAGCATGGCCGTCCGTTTGTCTATCCATCCGTCCGTCTTGGCAGCTGTGTCGTACCTGTGTATCTCCCTCCCATTCGCAAAAGTGAAAATATCGCCGACAAACTTGCAAAAGAATTCGAAAATGACCCGAATCCTGTCATGCCTACAACGTTCACATGTCCATGCAACAAAAATTTCGAGCACCTTTGCTTTGCGTGTTTTCTGGTTGGTACCCATAAAGCACGACACATACATCTGAAAAAACAAGCCGGCCGAAAATTTGGTTGTTTTCCTTTTCTCAGAATCGCGTTGATGGACATAAAAGATTCGGCCACTACCGAATATAATTTCCTTAGATGTTTTTATTCACACATTGAGCTATATTCATATATAGATATATGTATATTATTTATCTATATACGATTTTCAATGGTGGAAGTATGACGACTATATATATATATATATATATGATAGATGAATAAAAAAAAAGGAAAAAGTTATTCCTTTGATATCATTTCAAGAGCAGTTTTGTTACTATACACGACATTTTACTGGCGCATATGCGAGTGTATGAGGAGAAAGTTTCCTTTTTTTTTCTTTTTATTCAATTCAACTTGTTGGTGTATGTTGGAACTATTTTCCAGCAATCAAACACCATTACCTTGCAGTAATGTTTTAATTTATGATATAATATCTAAAGCAATATTAATTTTATCAAATGCGTTATAAGCAAAAATTCAAATATAATACATAAGCATACATATATATATATATATATATATGCATGGATTATATGTATCAGAAATAATCGAGTGTCGTTTATGCATTTTGGCACTGCAGGCTTATTAAATAATATGAAAACGCTTACGTATAGGCTGCTAGCTTTATGAAGGCCTCTTACCAATCATTTTCTTAATGAAAGTGTTGAATAAAACTTTCTTCCAAAAATTCCTTAAGTTTTAAAAAGTTTTAAATTTCCTTTTCCTTTCTTAGAGCAATTTCTTTATATCGTTAAATGATTGAAAAGTTGGTACCTTCCTTGCATTGGTACACTTCGCTTCAGAAGCAGAGATTTTGGTTGAAAATTGTATAACGAGGACAGATAAAGCCGGCATCGGCATCAATTAGAATATTTTGAGCGCCTTTGAATCTCTTAAACTCTTAAAAAAACCTGTAGTTTGTGTGAATTTCCTATCAGTGTAGTCGTGACTTTTTTCAATTTCTTTTCTTTCGCAGCTATTGGCGATCGACAAGGATAAAAATTATTATTTCTCCGGTTTTTTTTTGGTTTTTAAAGTTTTGTACCATTTTGCAAGTTGCCTAGCACTTGTGTAAGTGTCAGTAAGATTAGTTGGAATTTTAAATGCAAAGAATGAGAAACTGTGGCTAAATTCTGCTCGGTGGATCAGCGTAGCAGGGCGTTACAAAATTTCAAAAAGAAAAATATTTTTTGTCCGCGCCTGATCAAATTAATACCATAAACGTTTTAAACGTCATACGTTTGCCCTTTTTCGTTATACCCCTAGCAAAATTCAAATTTGTGCTCAGCATTATTTGGCAAATCGCAGCGGAAAGCTACACACAGCTGCGGAAATTATTCAAACTTATTAGAAAAATAATGAAATAGTTCTTTGGGCCATGTTTTGCACATTTTAATCTTTAGCGATGAAATCGACATGTGGTTAAAAAAGCAAAATTGTCGTTTTTGTGGCGAAGAAAACTCGCATGCTGTTCATGAAACGCGTTCACATCCTTGGAAATTCCCATTTTGGTATGGTTGACGATCTGAGAAAACTTTAGTGATTATGTAATCGCCAGGAATGCCGATATGAACTGGTCAACAAGACCATGCGACCATTGGAATTTTTACTTTAAGACTGAGTCATTGATTTGCTTAAAAATTACTGTTCCAAAATCAAATGCTTACAAGACACCAGAGATGTTAACTTAGATGAAATCATTTTGAATCCTAATCCGGCCACGAATTAGATTTCCAAACATTTTTTTTTTTTTATTTTACTTTTAGTTAACAATCGAAAGTAAAAAAAATAAAAATATTTGTAAATAAGAAACTAGTCTCGATATCAAAATGAACACTTCAGAGCTAAGGTTTATGTTAGGTAACTCCTTCCATGTTAAGCTAATACAGGCTGGTATTGACTCACCATTACCAGCCTTATTAGGAAAGATAAACTGAACATTGTATTATATAATTACGAGCTTTTAACCCTTTTAGTGTCCTTTGTAGAAATTGAAATTAATCTCCAAATTAATTTAATCTCCAAGACATCGCTCCTTAATACTTGCAGTCTATCGATGTCATAGATGAATGGAACTAACTAACAAATTTAGAGCATTCTTCATTTTGCAAACTGAACCAGCTATGTTCAGTTTTGGTTGTCAAGTGCTTAAGTGAAAGCTCTGACCTAATAGTTTAGCATACGATTTTCACTGTTTGAATTATACATATATTTATGTGTTTGTATAATTTGGCTGCAGCTGCCGTAGCAGACGTATTTTTAACTTAATATAATTAATATTTTACATTTAATCTTTATGTACTGTGAAAGTAATTATAAATGAGATTATGGAGGATTGTTATTATTATAATTAATTTGGCCAGAGAAATAAATTCAAAGAGTAACGTCTTAAAGAACTAGCATTTGACGCTACCGGCTTTATGGAAAACTCGACCGCACATGAGATTTGCTTCCACGACCACTGAGTTCTTAGTCGAGAAGTAATC